GAGGGCAGAGGCACAAGCATCAGCATCAGCATCAGCTTTATACAAAGCCTAATGGCCATAATGAATGGATTAAGCCAGCATTTACGCAAACGCGTTGATACTTCCTCTGACCAAACAAAATATAAATCGAGGCAACTACACGAGACGCTCGACCATGCAGACCGGGACCTGACTGAGACAGTGAACGGTGGAGCAGGAACAGGCACTGGGGATTGGGGGGGACTGGGGAGTGGGGACTGGAACTGGGATGGCTAACAATTTGCCAGTTCTTAGGCTCACTCTCTCTCTCCTTGCTCTGACTGGCATCTACTTAATTTCAAGTTGTCCGCGGAAAAACTTAAGCATATTTAACCGCATGTCGCTGGCTGATTATACCCGGTAGGTACCCCGGCAGTCTGAGGGGCGCCCAAGGGGTATATTGTAAACGCATCGCAGATGCATGTGTGACAGCCCAAAAGGAATAATATACTCATTGAAGGAAGGATCTAGAGGGGTGCCATCGTGGGAGGAGTGCTCATTCCTGGCTACAGGGTATATTTCAGTCTAGATCATTGCCTGAAGCAGTTCTTACTGGTTTAAGTGCTCCAAGTGGAGTGTGTGTGTGTGGTGGGGGGGGGGGAGGAGTGGACACACCGGTGGGGGGTGCCTGGGTAGAGGGAGAGATTTGAATGCAAGTCGGAGTCAGAGTCGGAGTGGAGCTTGTTCGCCAGTCTCATTTCGTGTGGCATGCCCCCGCCAGGGCGACGCTCACGCATATTCCGCATATGCAGACGACGCACGACGGGATGCAGGCGCCACTTGGCCAGAGTCGGATCGGATCGGATCGGTGGCAAGGGGCGGGGGCATGGGCAGGGGCTGCGGCTGCGGCTGCGGCTGGGGCAGGGCAACATGGCAGGTAAATGTTAAAATGTTAAAATGCTGCCGAATGCCATTGCCCTCTGCAGCCAGCTGACCTTTGCACATGCCACACACACAACGTGGGCCGGTGGCCAGCGGCAGTGGCAGTGGCAGTCGCAGCGGCAGCGGCAGCGCAGAAGGGTCCCGGCTTGACCCCTTGCCAAGCGCCATCAGTTGTCTTCATCAGCTTAGCCCTCGGCCCTGTCAACGTAGCCATCATATCGAATGACAAACTCGACTGCACAATGGAGAGCCACTCGCTCTCTCCCTCCCTCTCTCTCTCTCTCTCTCTCTCACTCTGTTCCGAAGAGGGAGGGACTTGAGTACTGGGGGATTATAATCAGAGAGCTCGCTCTCGTCTCGGGCCAGCTCAATCGGAAAATGAACGATGATCGATGATCGTGCTTCGACTTTGACTTCCACTTCGACTCCTGCAAGGTGCATCATTGTTTGGCCTAATTAAGCGTTGGCGTTGCTCTTCCCTTACCCTTTTCGGTATTGCTCTCCGATCAGCGCTCGCCCGATCACCGATCACTGATCACTGATCATTTATTATGCATCTCTCTGTAACCCGACGACAGTCCGCCAAGGAAGTCCACAGATTGTGTGTGTGGGTTTGGCTGGAATGGATTTTGTCTAAGATTTCCTCAGACCTTTCTCTCTCCGCTTCTTGGTGGAGGGATCAACTGTCTTCTAAGCTATCATTTTCAATCATTCATGAAAGTATCCAATGATTTGTATCTGCATATCTGTCCATCTGTATCTGTGGGCTTATACGGGACCAGTCATATTAATATCATAGATACTTGCATAATTCCTGAACCTTTTTACGATCAGCAACAACAGAAAGATACTCCATTCCGGAGTCCTCCTATTCGGCTTCCATTGGCAGCATTGATAAAGTTATTCATCGATCAATTCTGCTCCAAATGAAGGTTCTGCTCTATTGATAATTGAGAAGGAGTCCCCGTGCCTTGGGGGCATTCCAGTGCGCTCAAAGTGGATGGTTACATCTTCTCCTTTACACCAGTTGGACTCCTTTCGCATACAAAGACACCTTGGGACTCCTTACTGGGAATGGGACTCCGTTCGGGCGAAATGAACTTGTCCCCGTCAAAGTGTCGCCCTGCGAAAGCGCCACAAAAGGGGAAACAGGAGTAAGGTAGGTGCAGAGCAGAGCAGAGCAGAGCAGAAGGGGCAGCGTGTCGTGTCGGCAAGCAGCAGCTGCTGGAAGGGACAACAAGGGAATGCCAGAAAAGGGAAGGGCTGGGGGATGGGGGATGTTGTGGCAGCGATTGCAATCTCTGTGCTGCAGTTGTCGCTTCTGTTGCGGGCTGCTTAATTTTCCGCCATTTGCCCATTTCGGAGTCCACTCTGAAGGCGAACCACAAAGCGTATGTGACCAGGAGGAGGAGGGGGAGGAGGAGGAGGATCCACTGAGATCTCGTGCAGCTGATAAATGGAACCGAATCCACAGATGAAGTCGTCTCGGGGCACCGAACATACACAATTTAATTAAAGATGCGACTACCGTGCTACAGGCACCCAGCAGCAATCGATTGCAACCTATCGGGGATCGATCGTTGATTGCCAATCGCCGATAAGTCCATGAACATGACGGATAAAATCACCTGTAAAACGACAAAGGGAGGTAAACGCTGAACCCAACTCCCAACCCAAGTACAGCCTCCTCCTCCCCCTCCTCCGGGGCAAACCTGGGCTTTGAAGCCTGACCTTGAGCCCCCCGACTAATGAAGATATCGAGAGAGGTGCCGCTGCCGAGTTCGGAGCCCGTACCCGTACCCAGACCCCGACCCGTTGCATAATTCATTTTCAATTTATATGCCATAAAAGCGATAATGGCCGCAATTAAGTTCGTGTTCCTTTGATAATTTTCCACATTTACGCGGCCATTAAAATGATTCCAGCCGCATTTTTCTACCACTCCTCTTTGCCCATTATCAGCGCGGCGCGGCGCTCTTCTCATTTCCATTTCTGGACAGGCTCTCCGATTGCCCCACTCCCTCCCCGCGCTTATCGGGTCCCAAAAGAGACAGAGGCAGATAGAGAGTGAGTGGAAGATATGGGAAAGCATCTTTGAGGGGGAATATGCATATAGACTCGTAGTCGTAGTCGTAGTCGTAGTTGTGGTCGTAGTCCTACCTTTTGAGGGTAGTGGCAGTGCCCGCTGAGGTGTTAATTAGCATTATCTTAATGCACGTTCCGGCACACAGTTCAAATTGAATTATACATAATAATTTGTTCGCCACTCTTTAAAGTGCAACTTAATGTTCTTTGAGTGGACGGACGGACAGGCAAGGCAGGCGCTCGGGGAGAGGAGGCAGTCAGTCCGCAATGGCTGCCGTCTCGGACGGTGAGTGGTGACCCCCAGATACATAGATATCCCCACCATCCCAACCACAAATGGAGTGGAGTGGAGTGGACACACAGCCTTCCAAGCTCGTGTTAAACGCTCATTAATCACATTAGATATGCATTAACTCAGGACGGTATCCAACGGCATAGCCAAGAAGGAAGGAGGAGGAGGAGGAGTGGACGACAGAGATGGATACACTCGTACGTAGTTCTATCTCAGCTTTGAGTGGGTCTCATATAAAAATTGTCTGGGTAGGAGTCAGTCCTATTCATATTGAATACATTCAGTTGGAAGGTTGGAGGAGACACCTGTCCAGTGCATATTTTTGGATATAAAACTAAGTATATAACGAAGTAAACTTCGCTCTGGAGAATCTCCAGCTATCAAAGTTCAATCCAAAAATCATTGGATACCTTTCCATCATCAGATCGGGGTCACCAATCTTTGTAGGAATCTTTAATTTAGTCAATTTAAGTCTATCCCAAAGGATGTTCGTGTACCAATTCCCCTGAAATTTGAACATAAAAAAACACAACCCTTTACCAATAGTAAATATACATAGCCAGATCGGGGTCACCTTTCCAGTTACCATAATACCCATAAATAACCCTAAAATCAATATTCGTAACCACTTTTGCAGCAAGACTTTTTTCTTTTGCCTTATCCCGAGCCGAGCCCAGCCGAAAACCTTATGCATATTCAGCATTTTTCTGTGGCCTAAGGAAATCTCCTCACATCCCCCATTAACCGCCAACCGATTCGACCATTTATCCAGCCAACCGTTTCCACCCACATCCACCCCCGAAGGCTAACACAAACACCGGCACAGGCAGGCGCGAGCGAGTGCGAGGGAGAGTGCGATGTGGCACGTTGCTGTGTTGGTGCTTATCTATGTGAGCGTCGGCTCTCTGTTTCGCGGAAGAGTGTGTAAAAGAGGCGGAGCCAAGACGAAGCATAATGAAAACATTATTGTTGTTGTTGCGCCCACTCCACCAGGGTTGATGTTTCGGGGGGTACAAGGGGCATACCATAAAATAATTCTCTGGGGAGACCTGGACAAAGGATGTACCGAAACATAACCATAATTCCCACCATTCAAACGAAGCACACAAAACCAACAAAGAGAAGACAACAAAGTCAGAGGAGCGGAGATAAAGAAACTCCAGCCATGATGCCCGCGCAGTGAGTTGGAGAGAGCGAAACAGAAAGCTGCAGCTATCTCGCTCTCCAGTGCGCGCGTGAGAGTGAGTTGAAAGAGAGCACGATGCTCAGTTTGGCGTCGAATTTGAGCACTTCCAATTTATGTAGTTTCTTCAATATTGATATAGTAAACTTTGTATTTTTTTAATGCAAGTAAAGAATATATCAGTTTCATTTTTTATACACAACAAATATGAATAATTAACTCTCAAGCTCTCTTGAATCAATCTGATATCAATTTGAGGTTTGACATGTAAGTAAAGGCACAGGGTATAGAAACTTCCACACTTAATACCCTGCAACCGGCAAACCTTTCAACAGACGGGGAGGAGTTAATATGTTGCCTCTCGCTCTAGCTACTTACTGGCTCGCGCAGACCAAAGAGAGCGCTGGCGCTCACAGTTGTACGCAAAACTGAGCTCTCTCTCCAAGCGAATGGCAGCAAAGCAACAACGCAACGCAGCGACAGCGACGCCAGCAGCGATCTCGACGATTCCGGAGGAAATGTATAAAAATTGTATCTTGTATCTCAGAAATTTTTCGGCCGCGGACAAGGAAGCACAGAAATATGTCGAATATTTTTCTAAATTCTGAAAATTAGTTCCAATTAATCCAATCAACATACAAATAACTAAACTAGGAACTAAAGTTGATAATAGACCTACCGCTATTTTGTATAATCGGCTAACTCGCTCGTCCGCGGCCCCACGACACGACTGTCTGTTCTTTTTTGTGTGTGACTGAGTGACTGTGTGCCAGTGCCTCTTACATATATGTATAGTGTATATAACCGAATCCAGTGATTATCCCAGATAATGCACCAATTGTTCAGAGAATAACTCCAAGGAGACACATAAATACATTCACAGGCAGCCAGTGGAGCGGAGAGGAGGACCTGCTACGGCTGTATTCAATAGCCACGAGCACGACGACGTCTGCACCGGGGGCCGCCGCCATTATGCTGGTGCCGTCGGACATGATCGCGGCACAATCCAAAATGGTTTATCAGATGAACAAATACTGTGCGGACAGGGTGCAGGTGCGGAAGGCGCAGATCCACAAACAGATCCAGGAGGTGTGCCGCATCGTTCAGGATGTGCTCAAGGAGGTGGAGGTGCAGGAGCCGCGCTTCATATCCTCCCTGAACGACTACAACGGTCGCTTCGAGGGCCTCGAGGTCATCTCGCCCACGGAATTCGAGATCATCATCTACCTCAACCAGATGGGGGTCCTCAACTTTGTGGACGACGGCACCCTGCCCGGCTGTGCGGTGCTGAAGCTAAGCGACGGCCGCAAGCGCTCCATGTCGCTGTGGGTGGAGTTCATCACCGCCTCCGGCTATCTGTCGGCCCGAAAGATACGCTCCCGCTTCCAGACGCTGGTGGCGCAGGCCTGCGACAAGTGTGCCTACCGCGACATTGTCAAAATGATCGCCGACACCACGGAGGTGAAGCTGAGGATCAGGGAGCGCATCATTGTCCAGATAACGCCCGCCTTTAAGTGCGCCGGCCTCTGGCCGCGCTCCGCCTCCCACTGGCCACTGCCGGGCATACCCTGGCCACATCCCAATATCGTTGCAGAGGTTAAGACTGAGGGCTTCGACATGCTCTCCAAGGAGTGCATCGCCCTCCAGGGCAAGAACTCTGCCATGGAGGGCGACGCCTGGGTGCTGAGCTTCACCGACGCCGAGAATCGTCTCCTGCAAGGTGAGTGTTCTTTGTTTTCTGGTTTGCTCACCTGACGACACGGGGGACGGGTGTCTGATCCGTGTCACGGGCTGCACGGCAAGACATTATCCGGCTGTAAATTATCCGCCCAAAACAAATCAGTAGGGGACTCAGATCCCTGTGAGGTGAGCTGCTGCCAGTAGTCGCCCAGTCGCCCAGTACCACAGTCCCCCCCAATCTCGTATCGGTAATCAGTGACACACTTAAATGGAATTGATTTATTCCCAACAAATCAGCGACTCTTCCAGCTTGATAGGGCCGTAATTGATTGTAAATTAACCACGAAGCTGTCCGACTGGTGGAGATTGAGGAATGAAGTTTGCTGGGAGATCGTTCCGTTAGATCAGAAATGCTTTAAAAGTATAATGGGACTTATTCGTTTCTGTTTTCGGTGGGACTTCATTCATGGTAAATCTACTTGAATCTGTAGATCTGCAAATCAGAACTAGAGGGTGACATTCATAATTTAAAGATCGTTTTGTAGATCTGCAGATCACTTGGTTTATTTGGGACCCACTATGAGGTATATACATGAAGAGATACTTGTCAAATAAATCAATAGATCATGCTGAAAACTTCTGCAAGAGATCCCTATAAAATTCATTTGAAAACAGAAACCATTGGGAAGTTTTCCGCCCGGGGATTGTGTTTTATCTACTGTTAGATCAGTTGGGATCAACAGATGCCCCATCTAACATCAGTATGATGTGATATAAAAGATCTTTTGGATCATTTTGAAGGCAGGGCAGCCACCGGAATCACGATCGTTTAGAGTCGGGGGTCCAGTCATCCAGTCATCCAGTCGACGACTGCTGCTCAACGAGACATCTGATTATCGGGGGACCCAGATATGATATGAGATACGATTCAGTGACGCCTGTTTGGGTACGATCATAAATCTGTTGTTCGATCCGATGCGATCCGATCGGCGACCGCGACTGCGACCGGAGAAAAAGAGTTCGTTCGGGGAGTTTGGACAGCTCCATGCGACCGCCTCCACCTCCACCGCGACCACCACATCCGCCTCCGTGTGTTCCGTCCGCAGCGCGACAACGGCACACAAATCTGCTGATCCCCGCGAGATAAGCGCAGTCTCAGAGAGTCACCACGGAGCCAGCCCACTGTTTTGGTGGAAAACGGGTTTCCATATGAACAATGCCAATGGATGGGCCATAAATAAATTTCTAAACGATTTTATAAATATTTTAAATCTCGGCGATTAGATAAAGTCAACAAATAAATAAAACAACAGCGCGCGTTGGCCAGAAAGAAGATGACGAAGAAACCACAAGAGGAGAGAGAGGCGAGAGGCGAGAGGCGACAGTGGTACAGTGGGACAGACAGAGAAGCGATGGGCAGCAAAGCAAGGGGCAAAAGCTAAGACAAAAAGAAAGAAGAAAAAAAAACCAAAACAAAAACAAAAACGAAACAAAAATTAAACCAAAAACCGAAACCGAAACCAAAATCGAATCGAATTCAATTCTGTGACTGAATGAGGCTGGGGGCCCCCTGACAACGACCTCCAATCTCCAATCGTTGCCTCTTCATCTTCCTCTACTTCTCCCCTCTACCTATCCCTGATCTGATCTTCGATCTCTGATCGTTATTGTCATTTCATTAAATGCCTAGACTAACTTTCCTCGGAGCAAATGCCTCGATATTAGGTATCGATTAATGGGGGTGGCATCGGGGATCCCAGCCGATCCGATCCGTGACTATAATTAGCACTGTCACTTGTACACTAAATTAGCTGCCACTTGACATCGACTCGGTTCTGCAGTACCTCCGAAATGTGTGCTGTTTTGTGGAGTGCCAATACTCGTATTGCTGGCAATATCGTTCAATATTGATTAGGCTGAAATTTGAAACGGAATCCGAAGCACTCCTCCAGTCCACTCCACTGCAGTCCATCGGAACCCTAAGAGTCTCCAGGCTGCAGAGAAGCAGACGTGATTATCGGGGCAAGAGCCGAGATTAGCCCGGTTGACACGGTGCCAACGTTGCCATGATTTATGTGTTTCCAACGCACTTGGCCATAATAAATTAAAAATCGTACTATACACATAAACGTCATATATGTATGTATACTTCAAGAAGTACCAGAGAATCGAAAAACAAACTGCGAGCAAGTGGCTGAAGGGTTGATCAATCAAAGTCGCAAATCCAGTGCGGATGGCTATGGGCTATGGCTTATGGGCTATGTCAACCTGCAAGTGCAAAGTCCTGCCGGCATAGTCTCTGACTAATTAAAGTCCATCAGGATTCTTAGCTGAATGTTCAGACCGAGCTAAGCTGCAGCTTGTTGATCCTCAGATCAGGTCTAAGCCCGAAGCACAAAAGATCTCTCCAATCTGTGGCATGAGCAAGTGGACAGATCCCAAGTAACAGATATCCAGCGATCCATCATGTATGCCTTATCTGACAGACTATGAACGAATTATGGCCATAACAATTGTATTTATTTCAATATTAATGCTAGAATAAGACACCCACCCACCACCGATCGATCCCCCCATACTCCTCATACCTAGACAATCGAATGCTAATCGAATCGTTTTTCCCATATATTTTTTGTCAATCAATATTCTAGGGGCCAGTCGGCGTCGCTGCTTGAGCATACTGAAGACGCTGCGAGACCGTCATCTGGACTTGCCCGGCAATCCGGTGACATCGTATCATCTGAAGACGCTGCTGCTGTACGAGTGCGAGAAGCATCCCCGGGAGATGGAGTGGGAGGAGAACTGCATCGCCGATCGCATCAATGGCATCTTCCTGCAGCTGATCTCGTGCCTGCAGTGCCGTCGCTGTCCGCACTATTTCCTGCCCAATATGGATCTGTTCAAGGGCAAGTCGCCCGGTGCCCTGGAGAACGCCGCCAAGCAGGTCTGGCGTCTTACGCGCATCATGCTGACCAATGTCCGATGCCTGGAGGAGCTGTAGATCTGTACACACACACACACACACACAGCAGACCAGAGCTTCATCCGCAGTCCCCACCAGATCCTCCATCCACCAGCCGCTGGGAATTCTTTTTTTTTTTTTATACTCAAATATTTTAGTTATTTTTGTTTTTGTTTTTGGTTTGGCTTTGTCAGAGGAGGAGGAGGTGGAGGAGATTTTAAAAACAAAGAGATCCGGGCTAGGGGATGAGGAGCAGGCAGTCGCAAGTCGCAAGGATGGAAAGGAGAGTGGAGAGCAGTGGAGGAGCAGTGGAGGAGCAGTGAAATTGTAACCCAAATACTATTTGATATTTCGCTAGATCGTAAATAAGTTTAGGTGCTTTCGAAAAGTATACGCCGCTTACAGAGTTTCCTACAATTAGAGCCTATGACTAGGGTTACCGCATATACAAAAACACACACACACACACACACACACGCACACACACGCACAAACTACGAGTATCATCTCTAGAGAGCGGCAGCCAGAGCTGCCAGCATACTATACAATACACACACGCATACATACATAAATATATACATACATATATATATTGTTTTTTTTTTTGAAGTCCATTGCTAGCAAAGCCCAGAGCAAAATTAGCTAAAATTAACTTTAAGTCGGTTGATACGAATGAAACAAAGAAAAACTATGGAGGAGTATTTTTTTTTTTGTATCATTCATAAATTATTTATTGTATGTTTTTGCCTTTTTCTTGTGAGTTTAGTCAATAAAATTTAAGTTTTTCATTGAATATATCTTGTGTGCAGTTGTTCCTAATTTACCGGGGGTAGGGTACGGTACGGTAAGGTACGGTACATACAATATGCACATATAGGGGCAGCAGTGAGGTAAGTATCAGAGTTAAGGCATTTGGAATGGAAATTATATACATACGTGAGATCTGCGAAGATGACATTCAAAAAGATCACAGAATTGCACTGAATCTCCAAAAAGAATTCATTCACAGAATTCTCACTGCCATTCCACGTACATATTATTGCCCTGATGTCTGTCTATTGATCCATAAATGGTGCCAAATGAGTAGAATGCTCGTCGGTATGCATGCTCCTTAAACGTTCCTTCTGCTCCGCTGATTGTTCAGCGTTTGTTTGATGTTTTGTCGGTATCGATAGGCCCACACGATTCCGGTGAGTCCGCCGATTCCGCCGATTGCTGCCGATTGAAGACTATGAAAAATGTCAACATTTGACATTTGGCTCGACGTTGACATGTTGCGCATTTTAATTGCGAATTAACAGCAATTCTGCGGACAGCTAACAATCCCAATAAACTTAACATAATTTGTGGCAGAAAATGCCTCTGAGCCAGACTCTGACTCTCACTCAGACTCTGACTCGGCTGGACGATCGATGGTCGGTTGGGGGCACATACAACATTTTGATCACGTGTCAGGTTCGCTTTTCGATGGACAGACATAACATTCAAATTAAATTTTATGTCATTCATAAATTAAATAATTTCTTTTTTGTTTTTTCTTTTTGTTTTTGTTTTTTTGCCATGCATTGTTTTTGATGTTGTTTCAGTTTCGGTTTTTGGTTTGCTTTCTGTCTTCTGCTTTTGTGGTTTTCCATTATTTTTAGCCTTAATTTATACTTTATTGTGGCCGGGCGGGCCCCCCGTTGATTTATGCATTTTGCGGCTTTTGTGTATTTTATTGCTCTAAAAATTATACTGCCAATGGTGGTAGGGAAAAGCAAGTGCAACAAGCTTAAACCAAACTAGAAATACACCATCAAAGCAAAGGATTTGGCAGCCCAATCCTCATGCACAAATCATAATTCAAATTAAGCTGTAAATATATAAAAACTTATTCTATGGTTCTACTGATTCCAAGGATTGCTCACCTTTGATAACCCCTATCCAAAACTATTGGATTTCTCGGCAGCAGATCGGGATCGTGGATTTCGTGTGGGCGATGCCGCCGGCGGTTTCGAATATCAAATCGATGTTTGCTTTTGGGTTTGTTGGCCCGTCCGGGCCGAGCCAGCCCGCTTAGTTGCGCTTTTAATGAGTTGTGTTTTATTGGATTTGATTTGCATTTTGATTTGCCCAAATCAGAATTTTATTATTTGTTGCTGTTGCTGTTGCTGTTGCTCTCTCCGTGTGGTGTGCGATGTGTGTCTCTGAAAATTTTTGGACATTTTGTCTGTGGCGTGGCCACTTGTTTCATTGAGCGACGCGATTGTTTGATGCGCCGCTTCCCACACACATTAAACAATAATTAATAAATAAATGATAATTTGGCCATAACCACACATTGCCAGCCAGCACAGACCAAATGACATTATTTTGGCTTCTTATTCCTCACTCTCTCTCTGTCTCTCTTTATTCTACTTTTCTTATTTTTGTGGTTTGTTTTTTTAAATTTAATTTCCATGCAATTTATATTCATTTTAATGGCCGCAAAAGCAAATTTTATGAACATCTCATAATCACATTTTAAGCACACAATTTGTTATGGCAACCCCCACTGCCCCACTGCTCCCCCCAGCAAACACTGTGTATGCCCCCCCAATCGGCCATCACCCACTCATTCTCATATCTGCATATGGCAGAGTAATTAAAGATATTCATTTTTATTTCCACACCACATTATGGCAGTAGGGGGGTCTGGCTATGAATATTCAAATCATGTTTGAAACTTTATTTTAACTTATTTACGGAGTAAGTAAATATCTGCCATATGTGTGTGGATCGGATCCTTGATATGTAGTTTGGCAGCTGCTTTGCAGGTTCCATTCGATGTGCAAGTCGATCTATCGATGGATATTTTTGTTAGATAAAAGTGAACATTCAATATCCCAATATCCAGCCACGAATTCTGTATTCTTTATTGGAGTGGAGTGCATATATTTAAGCTATACCTTTAAATCCCATATGGATATCCTGCTTGGCTTGGATCCACTTTGCATTTGGATTTGCATTCCATTTTCATTGCTTCAGAGACTTCTCTTCTGCACGCCTGTCAGCCAGCATCTTGCTACCCTACTCCTCTGTTGCTGCTGCTGTTGCTGCTGCTGCTGCCACACAATTTGAGCAAAAAAATCAAAACAAATGTTTTATTTAAATGGTTAATTTGATCAGCTTTGGTCGGATCGCATCTGTGGCCCACTCCGCTTGTTGAAAACGGCCAAATGAGCAGCTTACAAGGAGATGATGAGGCCCGAGGTACACAAATGGGGAACAAATGGCGCTGGGGCAGGCACTCCACAGCTCCACAGCTCCACAGCTGCCAAATCGTGAGAATTGCATTTGGCATCCCACTAACCGAAGCGGATCGGATCGGATGGGATCGGAGCTAACTGGCTGGCTGGCTGGCTGGCTGGCTGGCTGAGGGGATTTTAATTTGCTGACTTCAATCAAACTGCAACAAGGTGGAGAGAAGTTGAGGCAGCCAGGCAGGCAGTCAGGAGAGGCATCAGCAGTGCCTGATGTGGTGCCGCAAATACCCGTGCGAGTACGAGTAAAAGTATGTTTGCTGCATCCAGGGTCTCGTCTGTGCTTCTGCAGCGAGGATCACGCGAACCAGCAACGAGAGAGAGACAGAACGAGAAGTGCTGGGAGGACAGCGGCGCTTGCCACTTAGCATAAACGGAAGACGCTATCCGGGGCGGTGTTGCCCCCCTGCCTGGTGTCCCACGTCCCACGTCCCAAGTTCCAAGTCGAAGTCCCAGTCCCCAAGTCGCAGCTGAAGTGAGCCACGACCTGTGTGGCCGCTGCATCAAGGTAACAAGCTGTAATTAGAGCCTCTTAGCCTGTCATCGCCAGCGTGCTTGATTATAGCCTTTTGACAAAAAGTAAATATTAATTTAATACGTTTCACCAGGCCAGGCCCAGTCCAGGCCCAGTCCAGGCCCAGGCCCAGGCAAGGCAAGGCAGGAGGGATGCACCAGGGAGAGCGGGGGCGAGGAGAGCGCGGAGAGTGCCGCAAGGCAACAACATCCCAAACACGACACGGACTCCTCTGCTGCGTGGCTCCTTCTGCTGGCTGCTGTTCAATTTCACCTGAACAAAGTGTCTTACATGTACAGGTGATGCTACAGCCGACCGACCGCACCTCCCCCTCCCACCACCGACCATTGATTGTGTGTGTGTGTGTGTGGGCTGGGCAAAGCAGAGAGTAACGGATCCGCGCTGAACCGAGAAACAACCGAAACTTCAAATACTCGTATGATACGGTGTTTAATTCAGCCCGAGTGGAAATGTCTTTGAATTCTCAGTTCGTTTCTCATAATTTAAATGAGCTAACAGCCAAGCAGCAGAAAGCAGTGGGAGATTTCCAGGAAATCCAGAATATCAAAATGCATTGCATTTATCGATCCAACTAATCCAACCAGAAGCGCTATCAATTAACATGGGAGAACCCAAAAGACAGACAGACAAACAGACAGACAGCGGAGCGGTGCCCAATTCCAATTCCAATTCCAAGCTCCATGTCCGAGAAAGAACCAAGAAACGACGGCAGCTCACGTCTCTTGGTCTCTTGCTGCTCGGTTGCTGCTCGGCTTGCCTGACATCGTCATACGCCCTTTTTTGGGTTAAAAACAATGGGTTCAAACGGCTGCGCTTCAGCGGAAAACAAAAAGCGGCCAACGAGCCCTAAATCAATCACGGCCAGGCGACATGTCAACAGCGCGAGGCAGCGAGGCAGCGAGAGGCAGTGCCTGAGGCTAAGACTGTGCAGGGTGGAATGGGGGGGTGGGTGGAGGGGGGTACACCCTCGCCGAGCCCATCCCCCCCCTCATACACAACCAAGTCGAAACGGCAGGCAAAATGTCAACGTGATCGTGGCATCTTGAAAAGGGCCGCCGACGACTTGGCCCATCGCATCGCATCGCCTCGCATATATTGGCCATATAGTAGAGTACACTGTGAGGGTGGAGGGTACAGAGGAGGAGGGGTGGGGTTGTGGAGGGGAGGGGAGGGGCAAACCTTAGGGGAGCCTGGAACGTGGCGTGCTTGATGCCTTCTGGCCGGGTCGATGTCGATGTCGATTCCGATGTCTTTTTAGGTTTCTGTTTCTGTTTTTTGTTTTTGTCTGTGGGCCTCTTGTGTGCGCGTGATATCTGAACTACGAAATTGAGATCGATTCGAGAGTACGTGTCTGAAATGCGAAAGTCAGCGGAATGGGTTCGATCTGCTATACCCGATCCCATACCTTTCGTTGTAACGATAAATTATGATATTATTTGAAATTAATGTTAAGTATAATGACATCAGTGGGGCCCCTCAGACGCCGATGCAGAAGAGAAGCAGGAGCAGACTTGATTAGCGTGCACTTGTCGACAAGATCGTAAGAGAGAGACAGAGAGAGAGTGGGAGAGGGAGAGGGAGGGGGAGAGCGAGGTAGAGCGAGAGAGTGGAACAGGAGGAAAGCAAGGTACGAGGTGGTACCAGCGGAGATCGATCTCCTGTCGTGGTTGCATTCGTCACAATTAATATTCCAATCAGATGATGGCAAACACATGTCCACAATGCCATGTCCCTGTCCCTGTCCCTGTCCCTGCTGCTCTGCTCCCTACTGTTGGACTGCGACTGCAGTAGTAGATCATCACTGGGTCTGGCTCTGGCTCTGAGCACTGCGACTGCGACTGGTACTGGGACTCGGACTCGGACTTGGTCTTGGACTTGGACTCGGCGTCGCATGCGTAATGAGGTATAACAAAAAAAAAAAGAGATCAGGTACCGGGGGAATGGGGGGGTATCGAGAGGATCGAGGGATCGTGTCGCTGATTTGTTCGCTGTCATAATTCAATAAAGTAGTCAAATGTCAGCTGGACTTACGCAAAAAGCTCAGGCACGGCTCAAGCAATCCATCCATGTGGATTGTGCCGTCTCACTCCGTTGCACCACACACACACACACACACACACACACACACACAGACAGAGACGCATCAGCAGCGGCGGGTTAATGGCCAGAAACGCAAATCCGCTTAGTGACTGCATCAGGATCGTGGCGGCTGGCAGGTTTCTCTTTCTCACTCACTCTCTCTCACTCTCACTCTGTCTCTCTGCTTATTAATTCATCACATGCCGCCGTGTCATTTGGACATGCGATCGACGGTGGCCCCAGGAGTGACTCTTTCTCCTCGCTGCATAAAACAGAATTAAATTTACAATGTATCATATTTGTGCAGAAGCAACTGAAACATTTATAAGTACATAGATAGATCCAATGTGTGTTCGTTTTTCCATCCAAAGTTATGCCATGGTAATTATTGTAAATATCTTTTATTTTACTTATTTTTATACCCGTACTCAAAAGAGTAGGGGTTGTTGGTGGGGTGGGAGGGAGCCGCGTATCAGAGGGGGCCCACGTTAGGTATATGTGAGGCTTGTTTTTTTTTTTTGCGTGCGGGGGGGAGGGCCCCGGAGCGCCCGTTGTATTTATTAATTCGATATTGGCGTTTGCTTTTGAGGCTAATCCATATAAAAATATACCCATAAGTTTCAGTGTATTAAATTTCAATCTATTTTAAGGGATCCAAGCTTTAGCATCTAGATCCAAGCAAGATATTTTTGTATTTTAATGGAAAGATTCTACTTCTAGCAGTCTGCTTGGTTTTCCACAGAATTCTACGGTTGATATGTATACTTATGTTTGCATGTTCCAGCGGAATAAACGACTGATGATGGTGGGTATGGGTATGGCTTTGGGTATGGCTTTGGGTTTGGGTATGGTACAGGAACCAAAAGACAAAAGATACGCTCGACGCGACGACGAAGGAGCAGAGCTGGCGGAGAAGACAAGAAGACAAACGTTTCGGCGACAAGGCCAGGCCAAGTGACAAACGTTTAGATGGATGGATCGTTCTTCATTTTGGGGGGGTACCAGCCGAAACGGGGCAACGGACAGCAGTCGGCGGACAGCGGGCATCGCTCGATCGGCCAAATAAACCAACCGACAACAAAAAAGAGCGACGATTGCACATAAATTATATTCAAATTTCTTTGAGATCTAAAAGATATATAAATACGGGAAAAACCCACAAACACACACACACACAAAAAACCACCCGAGGCGACTCCGATCCTCGATCCTCACCCTGCTGTCTGCTGTCTACTGTCTCCGCTCTGACATTTTCCACAACAAACCGAATAGAGACAAGGGGACACAAACCAAAATAATTGTTGGCCTTTTGTTTTAATTAATGCAGATAAGCCCCACTAGGCCATCTCCATCTCCGTCTCCATTGCCAACTGCCACCAGAACTGCGCCAAAAATCCTCCCAGACAGCCAGGGCCAAGTGGCGGCTGATCGAAACACCTGGCACTGGGATCCATTGCATTCGTAGCATTTGGGCTGCCAATAAACTAGCGGCCCATAGGGGGCCATACCATTCCGATAGATGTACGAGCATGTGGCTTGGAGTCTCCTCCACAAAAAACTGCCACTGATTGATGTCAATGAGGGCTGAACAAAAGACTTGACAGTTTGCTTTCCCACTTCTTCTCGTATCAAATGGAAACTGACCGTTTCTTATTTGAGTGTGGACATCGATCAGAGTTTTCCAGCTAACTTCGAATAAGATGTTTCCATTAGTACGAAATGGAAATCGAAACAGAAATCGATATCTAATCATTGGAAATGATCCCTAGAAGCTAAACTACATACGTACATATGTATGTACATATGTATCTTCAGTTGAGTTTGAACTGACTTGGAAAACCGATTCGAGCCGATTCGAAACAATGCCAAAAACTTGTGTGTTCCGTGTACGAGTATTCCCACTGTGTGTTGGTTTGTGTGTTTAAATTAGTGGCAGCAGCGCCAGAGATTTGTCTAATTGGAGGAGGCTGCCAGGCAGCAGTGGCGCTTTGATGTTGCTTTGCTTGTTGCCACATGTCCGTCAGTCATGAGTCAGCGGCGAGCAGCGAGCGGCGAGCGTGTGGCAGGATGGATGACAACGGATGTCTGTCGGCAAAGTCGAAAAAGAAGGAAGAAGGCGGCTGCAAGTAACCTTAAGGCCCAACCCATATCCCTTCCAAGTACATACACATACAGATATATACATATCTCCCATGTATGTATATAGGGGGCAGCTAAAAATGGCGCTGGTCGAGGGAATGGTGGTACGACGTACGGGGGTCTTGGGGCACGGTGCGGTACGTTGCGAGTGGAGTGAAGTGGAAGTTGCTTGCATGGAACGCTGTCAAAAATTGCCAACTGGCACATTAATCCACGCGACATATTTATGAGTGTAAATGTATCTGTGGCAGCGGCCCTGTCTGCCTCTGCCTCAGCCTCGGTGTATCCGTGAGATATAAAGATATCGCTCTGCTGCTGCTGCCGCTGCTGCTGCTTCGGTTGTCGGGTAACATGGACGAGGGTTGCTCTTTGCTAAATGAGTGCACATTTCAGATAAATTATTGCACACAGCTCTCGTATGCGACGGCAACAGCCAACAGCCAAACCAAAATGTATTTAACAAATTAAATTTACACACAACACACACACACACACACAGATACAACGCAGCGACAGATACAACAGCCCCCAAAGATACACACACGCACAGACAGACAGAGAGAGAGCGCGCGAAAGAGTGGGAGAGAGAGAGAGTGGGCAGAGAGCGAGCGGAAGCAGCAGAAACATCAAAGAGCTCGCCGCAGCGTGCCGTCGGGGGCCCCAGCACTGTGGGCGGAGCTTGTGCCAGCCGCGTCAGGGCCAATGCACGAGTAGCGCACACACACAGATACTCGCACACATAGACACAGGCACACACGCGCACCAGCCCAGAGCGAGTGAGATACAGATACACAAACACATAGATGCATAGATACACAGATACAGATACGGCGGGCGGCATGTGATTTGTTTTTGGTTTTTTTTTGTATTATTTTATTTTTTTTGTTGCTTGTTGAAGTTTGTTACTGCCGATACAGATACGCTGGCTGCAGATACTGATACAGAAGATACAGTATCTTGGAGTATCGATTTTTATGTTTTTTTTTGGGGGGGGGCTGAGCGCTCTGGAATGCATGGCACGAGACAGAGAAACGCTGACGCGACGCCTGTCACGTGACAGCCGGACATGTATCTCGGTTGCTGTAGCTGTGTAGCTGTGTATCTGTGTGAGTGTTGCATTTGCAGCTGTAGTTGTGCGGCCCATTCATGCGAATGAGATGGCGGCCGCATTCGTTAGATAAAATGCAACTGCACACCAACACACACACCAACACACACACACCAACACACACAGGCAATGCACAGGCGCTGCACTTTCAGCGCTTTATCTTTATCTGCCCCGAAGCTGTAAATATCCGCGAGATTTACAACGCCAGGCAGCCAGCCAGCCAGCCAGCGTCGTCGTCGTCGTCGTCGCGTATCTTTTCGTGCGAATCGGTATCGGAATCGGGGAATGGCAGCGGCAACGACTACGAGACTTACGGCAGGCACAGGCACAGGCACCACTAGCATTCATCGCATCCATCGCCTTCCATCGCCTTCCATCGCCTTCCATCGCTCTGTGGAATGAATCGTTTGGCAGCGAGGCATTCGATACGAAAACGACTCGCTTAACGCATCCGCATGCGGATGGCTAATTCGCAGATACAAAATATCCAATAAGACAACAACAACAACAAAAAGCTGCACACTCCACTCCTCTCATAAGCGGAGCCACTGCAACTGCAACTGCAACTGCCACTGCTTCAGCCCATATGCAGATACCGATACAAGTGCAGATACAGATACACAGAGACAGATACTAGTGCCGACTACCGAGTACCGAGTACCGAGTGCCGAGTGCCGAGCACCGAGTCCAAGCGGCACAAACACCACCAAAGCTGGCAGCGATTGTCGTGCTCCACTTGTGCCCATTGTTGCCGCTCTCCGGCTGTCACCGTAACTCACAATTGAATTGTTCCTTTGTTCTGTCCGCATCCGCAATAGCAGCATCCGCACCAGCACCAGCACCAGCACCAGCACCGCCGCCACACGATCCTGATCAGCAGTTCCAGCAGCCATAGCTACAGCAACTCCAAACTCCAAACTCCCGGCCTGCCTCTCTCTCTGCTCCCGAATTTCGCATAATTGGCCAAAAGTCACTTGCCGACCGTTTCCTTCGTTGCTTTGTAGTTAGCCGCCAGACGGAGCGTCGCCAGAGCCAGGTCAGAGATACAACTGCCCCCCCACCGCTGCAAGGCAGAGACGAGGCAGGCAGACAGGCAGCTCCCAATCATGCTGGTGCCGCCGGATATGTTGGCCGCCCAGACGCGCATGATCTACCAGATGAATCGCTACTGTGCCGAGCGTGTCCAGAGCCGCATGTTCAAGACCTCGACAGCCATACGGGAGATCTGCAAGATTATCCAGGACATACTCAAGGAGGTGGAGCTGCAGGAGCCGCGTTTCATCTCAAGTCTCGTCGAGTGTAATGGCAGGTGAGCACTGCATCAAAACCGATTTCAATTTCCTGTGTTTTCCCATTCCGGGGACCCATTGCATGGATACAAAGATCTCTCCGTTGTGGTCTTAGAGAGTGCAGAGTGGCTGACCATAACTGGTGACCCCGATCGCCCGATCAATGCAGCGTCAGTAAATGTTTTACAGTAGATCCGAGGCACATATTACTCACAAAAATGTCCGAAAATGGTTTTAATAGGGTGCTATCCAGGAGAGAAAATAATAAGAAATAAGATTTAAAATTCAAGTTATGCTGGTGACCCCGATCAGCCGATAAATCTCCAAAAAAGTAATCCTGAAACTTGAATCAAACTCCAATCCTAAATTAATTATAAGTATAAGTAGACCCTTAAACTGATTAGCCGTATAAAGCAAATATAAATCCCTAAAATGGTGACCCCGATCAATCGACTGATCTGCTACTCAAGCAGTCAAGCATCGATGCGGGAGCTTCGATAAAGCAGTACGGAGTGTGGAGCGGGGAGTGTGGAGCGGGCAATGTTGATGAGCTTGCGCAGCAACTGACAGACACTGCACGAGCATGAGTTGACAGTGAACTGACAATGACGCTGCACGATGCATGTAATGATGCGACTCCAGCCCCAGGAGCGGACCGAGCAGCAGCGGCAGCAGCAGCAGGAGGACAGTGCGATGACAGTCATCCGGGCACTGGAATTACGCAGAGCCAGTGGGTCGATTCAATGGGTCTGCGGTTGTGGCTCTCTTGGCTCATCATCTATCCGATTCGATCGTTTCGGCCACTTACCAATTCTCTCTCTCTCTCTCTGACTAGGTTCGAGGGCGTTGAGGTCATCTCACCGAATGAGTTCGAGATTGTGCTATATCTCAACCAGATGGGCGTCTTCAATTTCGTGGACGACGGCACCCTGCCCGGCTGTGCGGTGCTGAAGCTAAGCGACGGCCGCAAGCGCTCCATGTCGCTGTGGGTGGAGTTCATCACCGCGTCCGGGTATCTGTCGTCGCGGAAGATACGCTCCCGGTTCCAGACGCTGGTGGCGCAGGCCTGCGACAAGAGCATGTACCGTGACATGGTGAAGGTCATTGGCGACACCAGCGAGGTGAAGCTGCGGATCAGGGAGCGCTATGTGGTGCAGATTACGCCGGCGTTCAAGTGCTCCGGCATCTGGCCACGGTCGGCGGCCCACTGGCCCATGCCGCACATTCCCTGGCCGCATCCGAATATCGTCGCCGAGGTGAAGACGGAGGGGTTCGATCTGCTATCCAAGGACAGCGCCGCCATGCAGAACAAGAACAACAATGCGGCCAGCATGGAGGGGGATGCCTGGGTGCTCAGCTTCTACGAGGCCGAGAATCGTCTGCTGCAGGGTAAGAGCAGTCCGCGAGAGAGAGAGAGCGCTTTCGCAACGATCCTCAATCCCCCTCTTTCTCTCTTTCTCTCTCCATCCCGCCCTAAGGTGGCTGCCGCCGTCGCTGCCTGAGCATGCTGAAGACGCTGCGTGACCGGCATTTGGAGCTACCCGGCAATCCGATCAGCGCCTATCACTTGAAGAATCTGCTGCTGTACGAGTGCGAGAAGCATCCGCGGGACTACGAGTGGGACGAGAGCTGCATTGCCGATCGCATCAATGGCATCTTCCTGCAGCTGATCTCCTGCCTGCAGTACCGCCGATGTCCCCACTACTTTCTGCCCAGCCTGGACATGTTTAAGGGCAAGTCGCCCAGCGCCCTGGAGCAGGCGGCCAAGCAGGTCTGGCGCTTGACCAGAGAGATGCTGACCAATGCCAATGCCTTTGAGAAGTTGTAAAAAGGGGTAACAGAGCCTCTGAGTCTCTGAATCTCTGAGTCTCGGGTGTGAGTGTGTGCGAGTGCGAGTGTTTTCGTCGGGTGGGTACTCGACTCGATAAAGGTGCTAAATTTTCATTGTCGCTGCGATTGCAGTGCCGAGATGATCTGAGATAAGGCCAAGTGAGAGCTGCTGCTGCTGCTGCCTCCCTCCATCCCTCACCATCCGTTCATCCTCATTCCACATCCCATTCGCGGCTGCCATTTTGTATCTGTGCCATGAGTGTATCTGCATCTGCATCTGTGTGTGTGTGTGTGTTTGCGTCAAAGGCGAAGTGTTAATGCAAAGATGCGAGATAAGTCCACTCCCCATTCGACTCCTTGGCATTGGCATTGCCCATCGAGGCATGCCCTGCCCCTGCCCATGCCCGGCTTAGCCTGCGAATATTGTTTTTAATAACTCAAACATCCTTTGTTACCGTCTGTCTGGCTTTTCCCGTCCTAGTCCGTGTCCATGTCCATGTCCATGTCCATGTCTGTCCACCCGTTAAGCGAACAATGAGGGCTGGCAAAAGGAACATTTGGCCAGGCGGCTCCTTTTACAGCATTCAACATTCAGCATCGTGCCCGAGCGGAGCAGAGCAGAGCAGAGCGGAGCGGAGTGTATGCAGAGGTGTGTGCAGAGGGTTGTGGGGAGGGGGGTACTCAGCGTAGTGTACGATTGTTTCCATAGCATGCCGATCCTAGATCAAAGCAATTCAATTCAATCCAGCATAAATATCACACAAACAAAATAGCAGAGGAAACCGAAGAGATGAGATGAGGATTGGGAGAGAGAGAGAGAGAGAGAGAGTTCCGTTCCATTCATCGTTCCAAGTTCAACTTAAGATTGTTTTTTTTTTTTTTGCTATACCTACCCAGTGCATGTCTATATACACATACATATGTATATCTATATACGGCTACGAGTATATAACACTTGTAAGGATTATCCACAGTTTAATATGACTAAATAATACATAATAATACATAATAGATTGCCTAAGTGTGAGAAATATGCTTGAATAAATTCAAGAGTACTTAGCCAAAGGCAGTCTGATCTATATTTGCGGTGGGGTAGGGCTGGATGGGCAACAAGGATGATCTGAGTTTAAGGAAGCTTCGCACCTTGATTGGCTTTGATCTCTGACAAATGCCCAGAAGGATGACTATACTCAGAGAGTAGAGTAGAGGAGCTGGATTGCTGGATGTTATATTTAAGAGATATTTCAGAGATATTTCAGAGAATGTGCCGACTGGAAGCAAAGTTCTTTGAGGGTTCGAACTGGATGGATCTCAGGAAAACGGAACGCCATTCGATCGCTGACAAATCCCAGAAGGATTCACTTCCTTTCGACTCTCATTAGGGAGGATGTCAGGCACTGGTTTTGGGCCTGGGTTCTTGGTGAGTTAATGTTATGATTATTGGCATTGGCGGATATTTATTTGCAGCTCTTAGCCAACAGGCTGTATCGCGAATCGCGTATCTGTATCTGTATCTGTATCCGTGTGTCTCCAAGAAAATGCAGCTGCATCAGCCTCCACATTCACATCCACATTCACATCCACATCCAGATCTCAGGCTCCAGCGACAACTGAGCATCATTTTTATTACCCTTATTTATGGTTATGTGTTATTTTGTGCCAGCCAAAGAGCAGGCCCGAAAAGAGTAGTTTGTCTGCTTTGTTCTGCGGTTTCTTTGTCGGAGGACCGGTGGACCGGAGGGGGGAGATCCAGGCGGGGCGAAAACTTTCAGCGAATGTAATCGATATTTTTCCTGAGAGCCGGACGGACAAAAGGTGTCTCCACTTCGCTCCGCAACGCTCCGCTCCGCAACGTTCCTGTCTGTAATGGAAAGTACAAGAAATAATCAACGTCAGCACAAAAGGCAGAGCCACGCAGCATAATGCGATAGTCAAAATAACAAATTATGCCGAAGCACGCAGGGATCATGTTACCCGCTCGCTGGCTCGCTCTCTCTCTCTCGCTCTATACAGAACCAGAACCATTGCCACATCCCCATCTCTACAGCTCCAGGCATCAGTTCCACCCTGAGTGGGTGGGTGGGTGTCAGTTCCTATGGTTTTTTCTATGCCTGGGAAAAGCATCATCAGGTGACCGAATCGCTTCGTTGCGCACTTTGCCGCCAGCGCCATGACACGTGACTGGTCTCTGGCCTCGCAGGGGGACCAGATGGAGTTGGAGATGGACCATGTGCACGCAGCCAGGACTCGATAAGGCACGATTCCCATTGGCACCACCGGGGGATACCGCTACCACTTCCACGGAGAGCAGTTTGTTTTGACAAATTATATTTGAAATGCAATTAAAATGGAGTAGGAGGAGCGTGCGGAATCCAGGACCAGCAGCAGCAGCAGCAGCACCTGCCCAGACATTACCCCATAACCATATCCATAATAATTCCAATTCCAATCCCTATTCCAAGCCTTTTCCTCATTTGGATGGGCTGTCACAACTTTGGCCAAAGCCACACTGACACACAAAAAATGTTGTCGCCTGTCGCCCTCTCTCTTGTTGTTCATTGTTCGCCCTTTGATTTGATACCCTCTCTCAATGATGGGCATGATCCGCATGCCATGTGATTTGTAACCAAAGAATGCAGTTTGGGGAAACGAATGGCAGATGGGCAAAAGCTACAAGCAATATGGGATGCGGCAAGGGAGAGCCTGTGAGGCTCTGGCAGATCCCAAACTGGCTACTGATGCTGGATATCGCCATGGTCGATACAATGGCCACTCAACCACCTCTCAGGTAATGTGGAGGAGAACTTTTCGGTTTTTCTTGTTGACATTTATGTTATTCAGATCACAGTCCATGGCCGTGGGCGAGGCGAGGCGAGGCTTACGAATTGCGTCCCATTGTCGTCGGCAGAGTTGGCTTGTCCTCGTCCTCGCTGTCGTCCTTTCTGACTCCTTTTGTTGTAGTTCCGAATGTGGCTGTGGCTCCCTCACTCTCTCTTTGTTTTAATTGTTTACTAATGATATTTAAATTAGTGCTCTAAATGACCCCCAGGCTGGGTCTGGTCTCCCTCTGCCCACCTTTGTTCCGTTCCTGCTGTGTTGTTCGCATTTTGACATTTCATTTGTTTAGATCTACCAACTCCCAGCGGGGTGGGTGAGAGAGAGAGAGTCAACTAAAAATATTGAATGGAGTAGAGCGAAGGAGCTGAATGGGACATTCAAAGAGGTTTCCCGTTCCTCGTTTGATCAGAGAGTGCGAGCGAGCAGAAAATATGTCTACCATTATTTGGACTATTTTATTTAATATTTAACATAGACATATTCGCATGCATGTAGCTTTAATTGGAATATCAATGCAAACTTTAAAAGGAAAAACAAAACAGAAAAAAAAGGGAAATTGTGCGTTGCCAAAGTGCGACGATTGCTTTGGCTGTTCATTCACTCAATCAAGCAATCAGCAGTGGGCGCAATTGATTTGACTGGATGCCTGGCTGGACAGTTCATTTTTATTTATTTTATAATTCATTTCAGGTATCATTCAGTGGTACAATTCCTGCCACAGCCAGCCAGCAATCGTTTGAATTCCTCATTTAATGGCTAGTGGAAGTATTCTCGCTTATCAATTGTCAGTCAATTACACCCACAATCACAACCATTGAATCAATCATGAGTCATTGAATTATTGACTTGATTGCTCGTTCGAATAAAATAAAAATCGATTGGTTACCTTTCTTTTTGGTTAACTTTTATTCATTGAAAATAGCTTAAAATACATATGGAATATTTTTGGAATGCCTCAAGTGTCATCTGAGACATTCACCATTTGATTGCTGATAGAACACCTCAAAGTATTTGTTTATATATAATTTAGTGATTCTCGCAGTCTTTCCTTCAAATAGGAATCCAGCAATTATCCAAAGCTTATACAAATTGCTGTATTCCTCATAAAATGAAAGATCTAAAACATCTAATCGATTGGAGTGGAATCCAGAACCATTCCATTCCGATTCCGATTCCTGAACTTTGCCCATGCGAATCAGCCACGCGGTTCTTTGCGGTTCTATGCGGTTCTATGCGGGGCTTGTTCATCGATGCTGCCATTCCCATTCCACAGGCATCTTCTAGCCATCTACTGCTGAGCACTTTCCTGGGCATAATTATGTCGTCATTATCAAAAACACGTGGTGCAATTTAACAACATGCCAAAAGGGGGCAGGGCAGAGCACGGCAAGGCAGGGCAGGGCAACGGCATCCTCATGCTGCATGTGCTCGGAGGGAATCCCTTGGAGTGGGGAATGGATGGATGAATGAATGGATGGATGGATGGATGGAGGAGCGCACACGCCACAAATTATGAATATCAGAAAAATGCACAAGATGAATGGCACAGGAAAATGCTATCCCCAAAGGGAATGGAATGAATGCCCTGTGTGTGTGTGTGCGTGTGTGTGTGTGTAAGTGGGGGGATAATCTGGGGGAGTGGGAAATTAGTTTTCCACGCATCGCCAGCAAACACAATGGAGCATCGCAGCGTGAGAGGAGAGCCAGAGGGGGGGAACGGGCATCGCCAGCACCTTCATGTGATAATTTAGAGCAGATTGTCGCCTCTTTTTGGAGCGAGAGAGCCGGGAGAGACGGGAGAGGCGAGGAGTGGAGTGGGGTGAACACTAGAGTGGAGTCGGTCGTATTTTTGGATGGACATTTGCATTCAATTACGGCAGCTGTGAGCCGGCCCTGATTTATATTTATGCACGCGTCTCTCTGACGTCCCATAAAGGAAACCAAACCCCAAAATGCTGCCACAGCAGTAGCAGTAGCAGCGGCAGCGGCAGCAGGAGGATGGGAGAGGTGAAAGATCGTCACAAGGAACGGAATGAATATCTCCGGCAAAGAGTTGGCGCTGCCTGCGCTCAATCATAATTATGTGATTTGTTTGCGACATTGGCGCGGGCGACTAATTAAACGGCGGAGTGGCGGAGTGGCAGAGCGGATGAGTGGGTGGAAAATAGATGACGGGGGAAGGGTTAGGTTAGGCAAGGCAGGGAGTCGTCTGCCACAGAGGAGTTGGAGTCGGAGTCGGAGTGGCAGTGCGAGTGGGAAAGAGAACCATGTTGACGTATTGTCGCTGATGTTGGCCCGTCTGGAATTATGACATTTTGATTTGAGTTCCATTTGATGTCCCTCAGCCGCCGCCCGCTCTGGCGTCTGATTTATGCCAAGCTGATGGATGGCAGCGGGGGAAGGAGAGCTGCTAGCTGGTAGCGGGTTAATGCAAGGGATGGGTGTAGCCAGCGGAGTGGAGGCGAAGGTGAACTAATTAAGAGGCGGACTGGTACTAGGACTGGGACTGGGACAACTGGGCAACGAACGGGTTGCAGCTGCATGCAATTTGCTTAGAGAATTGGGGAGGCACTTAGCCCATTACCAAATGACAAACAATTTGTATTGTGGCTCCCCATCCCCAACCCCCACCGATACCCATCATACTCATTCGTGCAGCATGCAACAAGTGACAGAGAATGACATTCGGTGGCAACTGTGCGTGAGGAAGAGAGCAAACACACTCTGGGAACACAATCGGACGGAGAGTTATCCCAAATCGATTAACATTATTAATGAATGCATACCATGGGGAATGGGGAGAGTGAGTGTGGTTGGGGCAGGAGGAGGGGGAGCAGGTGGGGCAACGGAAAGTCCAAAAACATGAAAACGTTTTCAAACAATTTCAATTTCCAAGAAACGAAATGAACTCCCAGCGAAACATTGTCAACATGATCATCAACTGTCTGCTGCTGCTGCTGCCACTCTCTCTCTCTCACACAGAGACTCCAATTCGGAGTCCCCTCCTCCCCTCCAATCCCAGCTCCGAGTTTCTGTCTCTGTCTCTGTCAACATATTTATGGGCCCAACATTGGAGGCAGCGACTGCCCCAGGGCCTGGGGCTGGGGCTGTGGCTGGAGCTGTGGCTGCGACTTGGGACTGGAACTGTGGCTGTGTCATTGGAATGTCCAAATGTTCCATAATAAAACAAAGACCCCAACAACAACAGCAACAACAACAAATACAAGCAGCAAGCAAAGCAGAAACAAAAACTGAAACCGAAGCAGAAACAGAAACAGAACCGAAAGGTAGAGGCAACAGGCAAAGGCAAAACCTGAGTTGAAAACGAGTCAAATCAATGCAGATAATATCAATTATATGTAAAAGATACACATGCATGCGATAGATACATTCGGTGCGATAAGCATTTAAAATATTAACATCCACAAAACAAAAACCCAACGAAACGAAGAGAAGCGAAGGATCCCTGACATGGAATTTATGCCCCCATCTCCCAACTGGTTAATTCATTAGAAACTGTGCGTTCACAGCTGATTTGAGTTATAGCTTGGCGGGATTATCTAGATACATACCCGGGACTGCCACTGGCCCCGCCGGAATGGGGGGCCGGCCGGATTGGGTATGGTATGCCTTGGCCCTCGGCCCTCCGTGATCGTATCTATTCATTGCAAGGGAAAAATCTCCCATCATTTCCCAGCTACATCTTTGTAGCTTTACACCACAATTCTGTGATAGATGATCGCCCGCTCGATCCCAGTCGATCCCATATATGTAAATTTAAGGTGTTTCGCACTCAAATTCTCAAATCATGCAATCATGGACGGCGCATTTACCAATCATTTGTTTTTTAATTTATATTTTATTTATATTAAGAACTAACTACAATTACATTTAAATATACAAAAAAAAAATTATTATATTACAAATAAATAATGGTGTTCTCCAGCGAATTCCTTTTGTCTTTTTGTTGTTTTGTTTTGTGTTTTTTTGTTAATTTTGCGAACAATTAAAAAATACTTTAATAAAATACCAACTGTCTTTCCCTTTGCCGCTGCCCTGCCCCGTGCTATAAAAGATGCTATAAACATTAGCAGGCAAAGGTGTTCCCACAGCAGCGACACGACACTTTCGGTGCATGGCCTCGCTAAGCAAAGACATGAACACTCCAGTCAGCGTGCCGGCCAGGAGTGTTGCCGCCTTTTGGGCTGCGTGCGGCTTTCACACACACACACACACACCGCTCACACACACACACACTAATCCCTGCAGTAGCTGGTGCGGAGCACATTCTCAGCGCCGGACAGTATGGCGCCCTCGTGCTGGGGACAGAGCTTCAGGTAGAGGTCGCTGGACTCCATCGACTCGATGAGTATGTACTCCAGGTAGATGCGCGGCGAGGAGAGTATGCGCCAGGTGAGCGGATTGAGGATGCTCGTTGGATACTCCCAGTAGACGGTAGCGTGATCCGGCTGCTGCAGCACTTTGCCGGGCACCAGCGCCTTGTACTCGTAGCCCGGCTCAAAGTACATGGCCTTGGGTGAGAATTTCATGAGCTCCGTGGTGGCCTTCTTCTTCCGGTCGTGTCCGGCTGCTGCTACTGCTGCTTCATGCAGGCGAATGGAGAGAATCCCCACCTCGCCGCCATGCAACGTGCTCTCGTCGTGGCTGGACACACGCACCGTGATGCGGTAGTGGAGGCGGCAGAAGGGCTTGCTGTCGCCGGTTGTCAGGTAAAAGACGCCCGGGGAGTCGTCCTGCCGCAGCTGGCCCCGCTCCACCTGCTCCTGGTAGTCCTCCTGGCTGTGGAAGCCCATGCGCAGGCACGTGTGGCCGGGATCCTCGCAGCTGGTGCATTTAAACTCCTTGAAGCTCTGCGGAAGATAGCAAAAGGGGGGGAGGAAGATCAATAAGTGTCTGATGTGAGGCACTTTGTGAGAGGCACTTACATCAAAGGAGTCGCAGGTGATGCCCATGAAGGGGCACTGGGTGCCAATGCTCTCCGTGAAGAACTGCTGGCTCCGGATGTGATTGCAGCCGAGGAACTGCTGCATTGTGCTGAAGAGCGAGCCCTTGCGGTTGCTCTTAACCACGTCCTGAAACTTCTTGTCACAGCCGGGATTGTCGAAGCCGCCGTTCGGGAAGAAGTCGACATGACCCAGACGCTGAATGATGCCCAGGCCGCCCCTCATCAGTGGATTAGCATCGGTGTGGACGATATCCACGAAATGGGCATCCGTACGGTCTAGCCGGACGATGCGATCGGTGTCCGTGAAGAGTGGCGCCGCCGGATCGAGGCCCGTAATGCGTGCCAACTTCAGGCCAAAGTCTTGCTGCAGGTGATAGCCCGCATAGCCGGAGAGATGGGCGCCCAGCGAGTGGCCGATGATGTGCACATTGTCCAGATTGGGCAGGCCCAGCTCCTCGTACAGCATGTGCACCACATGCGCCGTAATGGAACCCACCAGCCGGGTGTTGGCCACTGCCTGCACATACGGCGGACTGGCGCCGCCGCCCCAATCGATCAATATGACACTGGCCTCGCCCTCTGGCTCGTGTTTCAACAGCGCCGTGGCCATGTCTAGCATCCACTGGATCTCGCCGGACTCCAGGTACCCATGCACAATCAGATAGATCCTGCCCTTCCGATTAATGCCCATATTCTGCACACTGTCCGGGTCGTTGAGGTCCAAATACTTGGGCGGATCGAGGCCGCGACTTGTGTAGAGCGTAAAGTGGGGCTCGATCTCCGATGGCTTCTGGGGATGGACATTGATCGACCGCGTCACCGTGTTCCACGGCCCGTTAATGGGAAAGCAGCCGTAAACCCCAAAGCACTTCACCTCGTTGATATCTGGAATACAAATTGAATTGGGAATTATTGTAGACATTTCAACGGGTATGAGTACGAGTACGAGTACTCTGTGGCAGGTGTTCCGATAAGCTCTTTAATCTACAATCTACTTAAATCCCCAACTAAAGCAAACCTGCTGACCAGGCTGGTTGGTTCTTCCAAGCCGATCATCGTTGAAGAACCACTGGCTGCTTCACTGCTCTTCCATGATCTCTTTAATTTTGAATTGTTTTAATTTTGAAATTCCTATTCTTTCGATGTCACTCTTAGCCTTCCACTGATGCATGCAACAGACAGTCTTCCGCTCGGCTGATCATTGTCGTCATTGTTTTTTGTCATATTTTTTTTATCGGTGGGTTTCGGCTGCTGCTGCTGCTTCTGCTTTCCGCTTTGTATCGGAAGTTTTCGATTAGATAGGCGTATCCACTCCGGCCAGTCCCCTGCCACTGCCTATGCCACTGCCTCTGTGGCAATTATTCAGAAATCCCCCATCGAAGCATCGCATCGCCCTTCCATTTGTTGCTAAGGCCATAATCGATAGAAATCTTTTTGCTGATGCATAGCTCTTTGCTTTCCCTACAGATCTGTTTGTTTGTTTGTTTGTTTGTTCAGCCAACAAGCAAACGAAACGAGAAGATGCCAAGAGAACACTTAGAGACCACTTCACCTCCTTTCCTGTGTAGAGGTCGTTTATACATATTTTACATTTTGGTTACTGGTTTTCAAAACCACTAATGGAGCCATCGAGAGCTAATACTATTCTGGCAATGCTATTTTAATGCTATTTCGGATGAGATGGTGCAATCGGTTGATCTGGCTGGGCACCAGTACTTACCGCTTTTGGGGGCCGGTGGCAAGTCTATCAAAGTGTTGACTGCCGCTCGACTGGTGTGATTGGCCAGATAGAGCATGGTCTGCAGCATCAGGCCGCCAGTGGTATTGGCCACATACATCTTGGCTGTCCTTCTGAACTTATTCTTTTACTGCTGATTGCTGATTTTTTTGTGGCTGGTTTTAGGTTCTTTTAATTGTTCTTTTTTGTTGTCACCCTTCATGCATAATTCCTGAAGGGGCGCACACACACACACACTCACTCACAGAAAATCACTTGATCGCGCAACCGACACTTGCACCGGGGCCACTCGGACTGTTCTATAATACTTGGGATCCGCTCGATATGGGCTTTGGATCGGTTCCGATGGTTGCGTATTTTTTCTTTATATTTATTTTTTAATTAAGTTAACGTTAATCTTATCGACTGGTGGCTGTCCCTATTCCTCTGCCTGGCTGGCTGGCTGGCTGTCTGTCTGGGTGTCTGGCTGTCTGTCTGCCTGTCCACTCGAGAGTGAATGGCTGTTGCCGTTAGTTTTCTGCTTAATTTGTGCTTTGCTGAACTTTCGAGAACGGGTAATAATCCGTTACTCCAATGCGATTGATTGTTTCGTTGTGGATCTCGCTGCAGCAATGAGCCGATCAGCCGCCCCTCACGCAATTTTTATTCAACAGCCAAGCTCAAGACGCAGCCGAAGACGAAGCCAAAGACGAACCGAAAACTGCAGCCGAACGCTTGGCTGAGAGCTTCGGCACGCAACTATTGGGTGGAGGGGAGAGAGAGAGAGAGAGAGAGAGACAGTGTGAAAGGGGAGTGAGCGCGGCATTGAGATAGCTGATAACGTTGACAGGGGCAGAGGGGAGGGGGAGCCCAACCAACGCATTGCTTGCACTGTACACTGTGGTCAAAAGTAAAGATTTTTTGGCATTAAAGTTCAATGTTAAATCTTACAATTTTTTATACATTTACATATTTACATACCTACAACATAAACTTTAAAAATAGAATCCCTTGAAACTAACAAAAATCATTTAGTTTTTGCAAGTCAAATTATTAAATCCCAAATTATTTTGTATATATGTAGTTTCATCTTATCTGGTTTATGTATACAAAAATATATGTGCAATGTACATACATTTTAGGCATTTCGGCCCAGGGTGCAGTGTTAAGCGAGTTCGAATGCAAAGTACAAGACATCTTTCCCCTCTCTTTCACTCTCTCTCTCTGACCATGCTCTTTGTTGAATGGGATGCACCTTCCATGATAAGCAACAACAAAGCCGCCGCCAAGCTCTGCAGAGAGTGCAAGAGAGATACAGAGATAAGTAAGAGTTATAGGGTCCGAAATAGAAACCTCCCCAAAGAGGGAGAGGGAGAGAGAGAGAGAGCTGGGACTCTACTCGTACTCTATCTCTGTCAATGCCAAATTCCGAATCTTTCCAGAAACTGTGTCAAGCAGCGCGACAGGCCTTCTCCCTCTCCCACTCCCTCTGCCGCTGTCCCCCCCCCCATTCAGGTGGTGGTTGCTGGTGTCAATGTCTGGACACCATCTCGTTGTTCCCATCCATCCCATCCCCCACTCTTATCAGCGCTAATCGACATCTCCAGAACACAGATTCGCTTTCGAGCGACCGCCTTGGGCCTGGGCCGTGCCGGGTCCAGAGTCCATGTGAAAAGGTGTTTACGGCTTTTTGATCGTTTGACATTTCACCAGGATTTCGATGCGACGATTGACGTCAATCGATCGATGGGGGCTCTCTCTGGCACCAGAGACGAGGTGCCTCCTCTAGGAGCGAAGACCGAAGGCCCCTGCGACTGCCGTTATCAATATTCGCTTTATGTTTTCTGTGATTCTGCTTTAGCATTGTTTTTGTTTACGACTCATTCTACCCCATAGGCTACCCCATCAGAGCATCAGCATCGCCAGCCACCCATCACCCCCACACCGCAGAAAGAATGGAATATCATCACAGATCTATTTATAGTTCTTTTGTCCATAATGGATGCTTCCTTGTTCATCCAAACTCATTGCAATTCGACCTGGCCACACTCTCACTACGAAGGAGAGGATATTCAAACAAAATCTATTTACATTAACGGATCTGGCAAGCCCAAGATCAAGCCAGGTCTCAAGCCCCAAGAAGACCTCCGCCAAGAAGAAGACCCAAGAAACTAAGAGGCATCGACAGCCAACCTAATATCAAAATATACCTAACAAAATATGTAACCTTACGATCGGACATGAACATGTATTATGCACAACATTTGCTTACTTTTTATATTCAAATATACAGAATCCTTGGGTTTCTATGGGCAGACGAGTGAAGGAAGGGCAGAGCCTAGATCTATGCACATACCAGATCACGGGATTCGGGATTGGATCAACGGGTACATGTAACATTATCACAAACTTTACAACCAAGCTACATATATGTGGATCAGATTCGAGTGACAACAAATGGAAGCAGCCAACATTTCAATCAAATTAATATTAAATGGTGATGCGTTCTAGGATATAGTTGCGAGTCGTTCAAATATTATAATACATTATCTGTTATTCACACATGCTCCTTCTTATTCTTACTTTTCCGTTTGCCTTTCCATTTTTATTGGACTTTTTTGGCCTTCAGTGGCTTTTGTTGTGGTGTGGGTTGGCCGGCTAAGTGGGGTTCTTGCGCTTCAAATGGCGCCAGTAGTCATAGTCCCTGGGGGTCTGGCGATAACATCTGTGGTCCTCGTATACGCGATAGCTAATGGGTGAACGCCGGCAAATAGGTGCATCGAACCAGTCGGCCCACAAAGGCCTTAACAATTTTAAGGTATCAACTTCAGTGCTATGTATACATTTTATTTGTTTTCCCCTGTGGTAGGTCCCCTCTAGCCAACATCCTACAGCCAAGCGGGTTTCCGGTATCAGACAAGAAGCTTGAAGAGAATTTCACTTTTGGCCTCCAGCGATAAGCATCGAACTTTGAGTTCGCAGCAAAATGAAAATGAATCCGAAAATTAATTCCGGTTCCAAAATCCACATGCATTACAAATCTACAGCAACAGCAGCAACAGCAGCAGCAGTGAAATGTGTTTTTCCAATTGTTTGAGAGAGCCCCCTAACGTCATCCGATGAGAGTCCCTTCCCGCTAGCGCACCCTCTCCCATGGGACTTGGATCATTTGCCAAAGACAATTTGTTTTTGTTGACAGTGCATAGAGTGCGCTCGCTCTCTCGCTCTGCATCGACTATAAATATGGAAATACTGAAAATAGAATATAGTATTTGCAATCTGGAAACGGCAATCTGGAGTATTGAATAGCAATCGCTGGTAGCCTAAGCCCCAGTGGGGTAATTGTTTACAAGATCAGTGACGGATGCAAAAGCAACACGAGCCGTGCCAAGGGGTTCAGAGTACAAGCGCAGCAGCAAACGATCTTGCCAGATGTTTCACTTCTGACAGGGATATACACTGTATGTACATACTGGTGTACACTCGTTAAGTATTGATTAAAACTTAGTGAGGGGGGGGGCGCCAGAACAGCGCAGAAAATACTCATTGGAAATAATCGAATCCAACAAAAGTGGATCAAAATGTACGGGCACATACGCTCGCATGTAATGCTGCACAACCTTTGGCCTACAAAGCTCCTTTAAGATGTGAAAATCTATGAGAATAGAAGAACTTTGAATTTCTTCGAACTAAAAGACATATAACGTATAATCAACTTCAAATATAACCCATACTAATTTTTATGTATACTCTCTATCTACTAATGTCGGATTGCAAGATTGATCCTCTGCTTGCTGTGTCTTTTCTTCTCTCAGGTGCCTTGCATCATTTGCTGGGCTGTCCGTTATTCTTGTCGTTTGCCTATTCTTTCAATTATTGTACTCGTGTCGGTGAGAGAGAGAGTGTGCAAGGAAAGAGCTCCGCTCAAAGTGAATCATTGGAATTGAAAGAGCGCTGCGCAAGGCTTCGAAGAACAGTTTGGGAGCCAAGCATAAACAGCAAGCACCAAGGAACTCATTGTGTGGGTGGCTCAGTTGCAGGGATAACGGATTATGGTGGATACCTGACAAATATCAATCCAAATCGCGACTATCCATTTCATATAGAAGCATAACATTGGGGGTGGCTGTTTAGTTTCGAACAAACTTTCAGTAAGATTATTTATTTACGCTAGAAAACAAGTTTAGAGATAGAATTAAAGTATAATTATGGCAGAACTACCTTAAGAGGGCATTATTTGGTTATGGCAGAGCCTAAATAAAGATCTAAATATACGATACGATATACGATATACGGTGTACGGTGTACGATATATGCGGAAAGGCAAGCGATGTAGCGGTAGGTATACGATACGATTCGATTCATGAATCATGATATATTCTGATGCTCATTATTGTCGGTAAAGGTGTTGTTCTCAAGGCAGCCGTTTGGTTCGTTCTCCTTCTCCCCTTCTCCGTTCTCCGTTCTCGTTGGGATAAGCTTCTCGGGTGAGCTCTCGTTTGGTTTGGTTTGGTGGTTTTGTGGTGGTTATGCGGATGGCACTTAGGATTAGCTTAGCATACAACTAGTTTAACAGGGGCCGATACGATGCGACGCGACGCGTGGGTCCAGGGCGGGGCGTCACTCGGTTCGCTGCATAATCATCTCGATTTTGTCACCGGCGGCGGCTATCAGCGGCACTGTCAGACAGCAATCAAAGTCCTGCGTCTTCATCTCGTTCACCTGATCGTTTGGACCATTCAGAAAGGTTAGTTAGTTAGCTATCCCGATTGATGGAGACTGGATTCGGGGATTTCTCACCTGCATGATGCGATCAAAGGGCTTCAGCTGGCCGCACATATCCGCGGGGCCACCGCTGCGTATGCGATTGATGAAGACTCCGCGCTCGTACAGGCCATCGGAGACGGAGAAGCCATAGTCATCGTATACCTTGTCCTTGTACAGCGTCACATGGAAAATGCGCTGATTTCCACCTCCACCTCCATGCCCATTCCCATTCCCAATCCCATTCGCACTGCTGCCATTCGTGCTGCCATTCGCACTGCCATTGGCACTGCCATTCAGGTTCCCATTCCCATTGCAGGTTGACTCCTTGCTGGGGCTGCGCGGCCTGCGTTGCACCTTTGCGTAGATGGCCTGCGTCTGTGGCAGATGGTGGCTGCCGTTGGCCAAATCCGCATGGCTGCGCAGTATCTTGAGGTCGACCAAGTCGCCCAAGTTCTGCAGCAGGCTGGTGGCATGCGACAGCGGCATACCCTGCACCGAGTGCTCGTCGATGGCCAGCAGCTGATCGCCCACATGAATCTGTCCGTTCTTATGGCCAATGCCACCTGGAAAACAAGTGGGAAAATGTAACTTCTCCTGCTGCTTATTGGGGTCCTCCGACTTACCCTCCACGAGGCCACTGATGGTGATCGGTTTGGTGATATCCTCGCTGCCCGCCAGTGTGATGCCCAGCAGGCCGCCCTTTGGCTCCAGCCGAACGGTGAAGATGATCTGATGCAGGCTGCTGCCGCTGCTCTTGCTGCTCGAACTGGCCGCCGAGCCGTACACCTTGCTCTCCATGGGCGGCGGCAAAGCCGTGCAATCCACGCTGCCAAAAAAGGAGTAGCAGCCAGACATGAAATAAGTTTGAATAGGGATAGGGATGGGCATTGGGGATGCCTACCTGGCATAGCGATTCAGTTCGTAGCCCGTGTAGAGCTGCTCGTGCTCTTCCTCGTCCTGTTCGTCCTCCTCCTCGGGCAGTTCGGTGGTCAAGCTCTGCGTATTGGCTGCACCAGCCCCACCCACAAACGAGCGGCTAAACGAGCCACCACCCACCACATGCCTCATCTGCACCGACGACGACTGATCCTCCAGCTGCTGCTGCTGCTGCTGTTGCTGCTGCTGCTGCTGCATGGGCAGGCGAAAGTACTCCGGCTGTGGTGTGCGTGACTTCAGGGAGATGCAGTCCGCATATTTGCCGGCCGTCACATAGGCACTGCTGTACAGATCGTGCTCCGTCATGCCACCCGCCGGGCAGTTGCTGTAGATGGGACTGCTGGCCATCGGCAGGAAGTCGGGCAGCACCACCCGCTTGATGGTCAGCGTGGTAAAGTCAGCGCCCGTGCCGCTGCTGGGACTCAGGGGTGGACTGCTGCTCGACTGCTGCTGCTGCTGTGTCGGCTGTGAGTCCTTGAGCAGGGAATCCACATTGAAGTGCTGCACCGGATGCTGATCCACGGCCAGCAGTATGTCGCCCGCCCTCAGAGAGCCACTGCGATGGGCGGGACTGCCCATCTTCACGTCGGAGATGACCAGGCCGCCATGGCTGGAGCCGCTCACGCTCAGGCCCAGCCCACACTTGCCGGCGCGCAGCAGCTTCACATTGAACACACCGCTGGATGGCACCACGGCGTCGGGCATATCGAACTCGATCTCCAGCTCCAGCCAATTGGCCGGGGCATTCATGTTGCTGATGTTCCCATTGGAGCCATGCCCATTCCCATGCCCATTCCCATTCCCATTCCCATTGGAAGTGTGTCGCAAGGAGCCGCCTCCTTCCAGCAGCTGTTGCATGGCCATCGCATCCAGGCTGTACATTTTGTTGATGGCCACGATCCGGTCGCCCACCTGAATGCAGCCACTGCGATCGGCCACCGAATCGGCCAGAATCTGGCCAATAGTCATCGCTCCACCGCATCCACCCTGGCTGGCATCCCCACCAACACCGAGCACTATGCCAGCACCCTGGCTGCAATCCAGAAGCACGGGAAAGCTCTCCGCTCGGCACAAGCCCAGGCTGCTGCTGGCATGGCCTGTTCCTCCTCCTCCTGCTGCTGCTGCTCCTCCTCCTCCAGCTGCGACAGCCATTGGCAGTCCCTCCAGCGGCAGAGAGCTCTTTCTGGCAAAGCGCTGACGCTGCCTGCCCGTCGATGCGGACGCGGATGTGGACTTGCGCGACTCCAGCGTGCTGAAGCTGTACTTTGGACTCCCCAGCGCCGTGTGGCCTGCAAAAGAAATGGGAAATAATAGTGCATATAGATATAGAACGGAATTAAACTCCCTCTTCTCCCTCGCAACCCCCAACTAAAAAGAAAGAAGCTTTTAAATAACCCTGGACTGATCCACAGCTTAGTGCCTCAGTGCCCACAGCTGCTGTGTCCTCCAGCCCCATGGAGAATTGATGTGGCACCCCCTGCCCCCCTATCAACGATCGCCTCTGCTTTGATTCCATTTCGATTCTTTTCTTACGCTTCCCCCATTGCGATCAATTGGGGAAGGGGAAGCAGAACATTTCCCATCTACATAAAAGTCTCCTCTCCTGTCTGTCTGTCTGTCTGTCTCTCCGTCTCTCTGTCTGTGTCCTCTTTGCGTGTGTTTGCTTAACAAATTAACGAAAGAAAACATAGAGAAGCCAATTGATTGGAGGGGGGGCTCTAACGAGGGTGGATCGAACACCAGCTGAGAGTGTAAATCGAACAGAAACTGCAACCAGAAGAACCAAGACAGAAGGCAGCAGTCGCAGGCATTCGGCTGAGGGGCGCTGCCACATGACGCGGTACAGGCAACGACAACACAAATACGTGTAGTAATGGGGGAATAGTAGAAATAGGAATAGGAATAAAAAGTACACGGGTATTATTCAGCGTTGAATTTGAAGCCCCTTTTACTGGTGTCCTGGCGAATGCTCTATGTTCGTGGCTGTTCGCTTATGGGTAATTTGTACAGCGAAAGTAGACCTACCAGACAACTAAACTTGGTTCCCTTGCTATACATTTTTCTGCATAGTAGCAGAACTTCTCCTCTTCCAGCAACTCCTCTAGAAACCCCAACACTTTGGCCTCTGTCTATCTGTCTGTCTGTCTGTCTGTCTGTCTGTGTGTCTGTGTTTCTGTCTATTGTTTCAACTGTTGAACAATCGACAATCGAACGACTCTGTTCATTAGCCGTGACGCCCACGCCAGACCTTCGTCGCGTCGCTTGGGAGCCTGCCGTTTGCCTCTGGCTGATCGCTTCAAGTCGATAGCCAAATGGGAAAAGTGGATCGCTTGGATCGCTTGGATCGCTTGGTTCGCTTTTGGAAAGACTCACCGCGTCGGGCCAGAGCGTGAGCGGGCATGATCTGCATTTGCGTGTAGCCCCGTCCTGAGCTGGTGTCCAATATGGTCATCACCTCGTCGGGACTGTAGGCCGAATGCTCGATCATGGTGTCGTCGATGGAGAGCACCTGATCGCCAACGGATAAGGCGCCGCATCTGTAACAGAGCACACAGAAACCAAAACTGTGTTAGGAGATTCAAAGAGACCGAAACACACACACGCACACACACACACACACATCATCATTTCATTTGCAAATGATCCCATTCCCATGGTCTCGCCACTGGTCTCGCCACTCGCAACAACTCACCGATCGGCAATGCTGGCGGGCAGTATGCTCGCTATATAGACACCCGGCTGGGTGACCACCATCACCAGATCCTCCATCTTCTCGCCACAGCCGCCGCCGCCCCCACTGGAGGGTGTACTCGAGCCAGAGCCAGAGACGGAGGAGGAACCCGTCGCTGCCATTGCAGCGGTATAGTTGCAGAGCACAAGGCCCAGCTTGTCGTTCATGGGACGCTCGATCTCGATGAGCAGGGGGCCCATGGAGAATTCGACGCTCTGGACAACGGACACATCGTATTCGATGGTCAGATTGGTGTAGCCGCCGGACACATGAACGCCGCCGCACTTGATGATCTGCTGGGCCTCCGCCAGCGTCTTGCCAATCAGCGAGATCTGAAATACATGGGCGGGAAGGGGTAAATAGTAATCATCAGGGGTTCAGTGGCTCAAGGGCTGTGGGGGGTATGCTCACATTATCCACACGAAGCAAACGATCGCCGGGCTTGATGCGTCCCGCTTTGTAGACAGGTCCATGGGGACGCACATGGGTCACAATCAGCGGATAGTCGGCACCACCGCGCAGCGTCAGACCCAGGCAGCCGCTCTCCCGCTCGACGGTGATCTGTGCCAGTTTCGAGGATACACAGAGACTGTTCTGGGAAACTGCTGCAGCCACAACAACAACAAAAGATGCGAAAAGTTACAGACTCTCATCGGAAGAATAATTTTTTTGGTTTTATTTTGATTCACTTACTGTATTCCAGCAGCGAGTACTCAATCTCAACGATGGCAGGACCTCCTCCTCCTCCTCCTCCGCTGCCACCGACATCGGCACAGAGCATATTCATCACCTTCTGATTGCTCAGGCCGATGGTGGAGATGCCATCGATCTGGTGCAGGCGGTCGCCAGGTGCCAGAAAGTCCGCCGCATGCCCCACCGGATTGAGGGCACCCACAACGGGCGGATACGAAAGATCGTTACGTTCTGCGAGGTATGCAACGGGATAGAAGAGAATACTGCTTAAGAAGTGTTAAATCAGCTACAGCCATTGAGCACAGCCAACATCCAACCAAGAGAGAACCCAATTCCAATTCCAATCCCATTTGTTTTTGCATTAAATTCGAAGTTCTAAAGTTCCCATAAGCAAATGGACACACAGATGAGGAGGCACACGGTACTACCTGCTAATGGAACTTGCTCTGACGTTTACAATGGCCCTGGGGCCCTCGTGTTCTGGATGTCTGAGCCCCAAAACAAATCGTAGCTTTCGGCATTGATTTATAGAACTGTCGATCGATGGGTTGCCGGCAGTGGATCTGTTGCCATTGGGGGCTGCTTTATTTGCTCTCACATTTTGAGGGATGTTTTCGGTTTTACTCTCTGTTTCCGCCGATCGACCAGACAGAGTGGGGTACCAGTATCATTTGATTTGAATGCGGAACGCGTCGTCGTCGTCGTCGTCTCTCTGTCGATAATGTGCTCTGTCTGTATGTCTATGGCTCTCTGTCTGCGTCTCTGATGTCTGTTGTCGCTGCCAAAATAAATCATCGTTCCAATCTACATAGAAAAAGCCCCAGCACCCCAGCACCCCAGCTCCCACACCCCCTCCGACGGAATGGGACGCCAGTCGCTGGCCAGACATAATATATGTATGTATGTATTATGCATATATATGTATGCATACATATGTACATATGTACGTACATATCTGGTATGATTTTTTGTCGATTCTGAATCACAGAATATAAAGTCCAACCAATTCAGATTTCTGTCTGTCTCTCTTCTTCTTTTTTGTTGTGACTAATCTTCTGGCATTTGGGGGGCAAGGGGAATGCGAATGGGACTGGGACTGGGGCAAGGGTCGTTGCTGTGGTCTGGGGGTTTAACCTTACTATCGCGGGGGAGTCGAGTCGTCGAGTCGTCGTCGTCGTTGTCTGACGTAAGCGGCATCTTGTGTTGCTGCCACTGCCTCTGGCTCTCTGCAGCAACACGTTTCTCATAAAGCGTCGCATCCGATGGGTAGTTTTTCCCCCTCATTTTCTTTAGTTTTTCCTGTTTTTTTTTTTGTTTTTTTTTGGCAATCTGCCACTTGTACTCTCATTGCGGCTGCCCCCAAACCGAGTGTCCGGCGTTGTTTTTTTTTTTTGTTTTTTTTTATTATTTTTTTACTCGATTTCTTTATTTACGAGTTTGTTATTTCGATTCACTCGCGTTTCTGTCTCTGTCTAGATTTCTGGCTTTTTTCTCTGTGTGTCTGTCTGTCTGTCCATCTGTCGGCTGACGAGTCGTTGACAGAGCCACAGAGGCGGAAATCCAAAATCCAAGGCAGTTGCAGTTTCAGTTGCTATACAGAGAAACTTTCTAGGGAACTTCCTACAATCTCCTTCCCGCGTTACTGGGGAAATTCACTTGCGAATGGTCTCTCTTTTTCTCTCTCTCTGTTCGCTTATGGGAACTTTTGGGAACGTATTATCCATCATCATCCATCAGAGTTATTCTTTCCTCTCTGCCAATTCGATCTCTAACCGCGAATCCTAACCCTCTCTATGAGTTCCGTTGGTCCCAATTAGTGCCTCTCTTCATTGAAATAAAAAACTTGCATCTCGATAGAGTGAAAATAATGATTCAATTGTTGAGAGCCGATCCAACCACCGCGCTTGTCTGGTCTGGTCTGGTCTGGTCTGATCTGTCTGTCATAATCTTTAGACCCGCATAAATTACGTACGCTTTGAGGCAATCAATTGATTCGATTGAGAGCGTATTTGGCAGCAGCAATTATTGGATTACTGGATTACAGATTGGCGCTGATTCCCAGCCTTATGACAGACCCCCAACCCCTCCCAAAAAGGGACATGGCGGCACATGGAGAAAGGGTGGGAAGACTTACCTGCAAATGTGATGGCCAGATGGAGGGCATTGCGTGGCAGCGTGATGGTGGCATAGGTGGTGCCACGTTCCGGTGCCAATCCCGAGTCCTCCGACTGTGCTGGGCTCATGGCACGATCAACTGCAACAGAAACGGAAACCAAAAGAGAGAGAGGGAAAGAGTGAAAAATAGAAGAGCAAGGGAGAAAGACGTTCGATGCCACAAAAACATCAAAGGTGGCAAAAAGTTGGTTGGTTGGTCATTTCATTTCATTTCATTTCTTCTTTTTTTGCAGCTGCATTTCTTAATTTATTCTGCCACACCAAAGAAGGAAAGAAGCCCGCAGATCAAAAGAACACACAGTGCCGGATTCCCTGCCCCACGTATGTATGTATGTACGCATCTGTGGCAACACTCAGGAGGGGAGGGGAGGGGGAATATACATTCCATTAGATTTCGAAGAATCGACCAAATTTCCAATACGAAATCGACCTTCAGCGTCGCCAAAAGTCTCAATTAAAATTCCATCCATAAGAAGCCATTCGCAGCCATTTCAAGTCCCCTTCTCCCCGCTGCCCTGCTCTGATGAGCAACAGCCACAGATACAAAACAGAAGTCAATTAATCTCCTGCTACAAAATTCCAGATGATGGCAAAACAGCGACAGCGATCGCGATCGCTTTGGGTAAAATTGGGAAATCACATCGCCATAATGGCAAAACTTTTGCAATGCCAAAGATCCATACTTGAGGCACTTTGGTGTGCCACGTGCCACGTGGCCCGCTCCCTGACACTGTCCACTCGAATGGCTGCAGAGCCAAGCACACAAATTTCAAGGGGAAAAGTGAAGTAAAATTGAATGAAGAGAATGAGCAGAAGCAGAAGCAAAAGCAGCGAAGAACAGTTGATAGATAGCCAGGGCTAACAGGGGGATCATACGGCCGCCCATTCATATCACTACTCACGCTCAGCACACCATCAAGCTACGGCCAGAGGGGGCGGCGGGCGGGCCCCCCGGGGGACGGGGGGGGGGGGGCCGCGGGACGATCGTATTATTTAATTGACGGCGCCGCAGGGGGGGGGCCCGGGGCGGGGGGGGGTTTCGGGCTTTATGCTGACCAAAGGGCAGTGCAACGGAAGGCAACGAAGAGAATGACAATGTCATTTTGGTTGGTAGTACAGCAGGCAGCTTTGGGTAATTGTGGAATCGGCAGCATTCCGCATTTCCGCATTCTCATTAAAAATTAAGAAAATATGAAGTCCCATGACAAAGATAGTTTCCTTTAGCAAAATTGTTTTCTTGGCAATTTATCTGTATTTAATCGGTATTTATTAGTATCTATTAGATTTAAGGGTTCAGTTTAGGGACCATAATCGAATATATTTCCTAGTCAAATCTTCAGATACATATGTATGTATGTATGTATATATATTTCTAGCTTCCTGTTGCTGTTCATTCATATGTTTACAATTTTTTAATTCAAATTTCCACATTTTCCTGATGTATTTTGGCTACAAGAAAACTAAGGTTCTCGCAGAGCCCAATTATGGAATACACCATTCAATACAATGCATCGTTTGCCCCTCTCTATGCCTCTATATCTTTTCGTGTTGCAACATTTGGACCATGCGGCGTATACGCGATATGCTACAATTACGGCGTACATCATCCACCATCATCCGCGCCGCGCCGCGCCGCCCCTGCCTTGCCCTGCCTCCGGCGTCCCCCGGTCCGGCCACGGTGCCCATCGTGTGCGTAACGGATACACACGGACACACGTTGCCGCAAGTTTGACGCAAGAGGCAAGCGGCAGCGGCAACGGCAACGGCGACCGCTACGGACGCGGACGCGACTTTTATTTTCGAACGCTTCAATGGCGCATAAAGTTTTTCTTAATGCGACCGCCGCCGCCCGACTATGAACCAGAAGAAGCAACAACAATAATTAGGGAAAAAGCCAAAAAAAATAAAAAAAAAATATATATAAAAAAAAAACAAAAAACGGAAAACAAAACGAAAATGAAAATGAAAACGAGAAGAAACAACAAAATGGAAAAACGAACATCGGGCGCCGCCGGTAGAGAAAAACGAGTGTATATCTAAAAAAGCCTAAAAAAGTGCAAGTTAGACCCACCCAAGCAAGGCCGAAGCGTAGATGCTCTTTCTTTTTAGCCAAATCAAACGCAAAGATTAAGAGTATTTGTTCTATCCGCATAAGAAGTAGAATAAAATCAATTTAAATAGAGAACAACTCCTTTTTATTTTTGTAAAATTATGAATTAAATTTTTTATGTTATCTGAAAATTTGCAAAGCTTAAAGATTTGTCTTTTGATTGCAAGCAGTTTAAAAATGTGACCCGTTCTATCGGCATCTGCTGCGGATTTTCAAAAATTTTCTGCATCAAAATTGTGTGGAATAAATGGCGTTGGGTGTGATGTACTTTGCTTCTGATAGCGTATGCCACGTTTCGCTTCATTTGCCTGGCACACACATATACGCGTCTCTCCCCAACTTGGGCTCTCTCTTCCCTCCCGTCCACCCCATAATTTATTTTCATTTAATTTGTTTTCTTCGGCTTCGGAATCGCTTTTTATTCACCAAAAGGTGTGCCAATTTGGGGTTCAGTTGCACCTTTGGCTATATCTTCATATACTATATACACACACACACACAAAAAATATCCCCTGATTCTACTTGCAACAATTTTTTTTTATTCGCATTCGCCTTTGAAGTGGTGTTCACATTTTTTGCTGTTATTTTCTTTTGGATGCGCTTTTTCAGCTATTTTTATAATGTACGCTTTTCATTTTGATTTCCACAGAGGCCGGCCTGGCCAGTAGTGATTTTTTTGCCAGCGAACGGAAATTATATGTACGTTTCAGTTTAGTTTTTTTCTTATTTTTTTGTATAAAAAAAATGTTATCAAAAATTAAGCAAAAAGCGAGAAACGAGAAACGAAAAGAACAAATCCCCTTTGGCTGAGAGAGATGCCCTGGACAGCGGCATTTTCCTCAACACAGAACCAAAAAGAGATAGAGAGAAGGAGAGAGGGTAAGGGTGAGGGTGAGGTGTCGGCGAAGGGGGGAACAAATCAAAACGAGCCAAGCGCTAAATGAAATTGAAAAGAGAGCCCATAAAATAGCCAACTAATGTGATGGAGTGCGTATGGATTTATGAAATATATATATATACATATATACAAACACATACATATGTATATATAGAAAATTTTCGAGTTGATTTCCAAACTGATTTACGTGTTTCACGACCCCCCCCCCTTCCGCTTACCAATCCAAAAAAATACAGGAAAAAAGAAGCGAAAACCTAATTGGAACATCGCTACTCACATGGTATGAGTGTGTGCGTGTCGAGTGTGTGTGGCGCTAGAAATCGGAACTAGTTCCGGTCTAGTCAAAATTAGCCAAAAACTGGAGCACTTCGCCAAAGATTTTGTATTTTGTTTGTTGAATTCTTTAGCCGAATGTTGAGTATTTTTTTGATAAAAAGATCGGTAGTCGGCTATTCACCAAGAAAAGCCGACTACCGCTGCTCCGACGGGAACTCATTATAGAGTTATCTTTTTAAGGAAAAGAGGGTAAAGAGGGGAAATTCTAAAGGTAAAACACCCCATGAATTTACGCTTAAATTTATTTAAATTATAGTTCTAAAACAAAAACAAAAAAGCAAAGCAAATATCCTGCCCCCTTGTCACACAGGCAACGCCCAGCTCCCAGAACTCTCCCCCCAAAACGAGAACTTATACGTCTAATGGAATAGACATTGGCAATTCCCAGCTAATTCGCAGTGCCATTAGGAGTTCCGTTTTCCAGGGAGAACATCAAGTGGATGTGGATGTGGATCCATTTTCAAATCCATATCCCATATCCGTGTGGCAGTTAAGACTATTTTTGCCTCTTCTATTCGCTTTTATGGCCCACTCGACGGCGGATGACGATGTCGCGGGATAAGTTGCGGGCAAAATTTATCGGCGACAGTTGTTGGCTGGCAGCGGAAATTGCGCTCAGCCGCAACGGTGGAAAGGAGAGAGTGTGGCAAGTGGCAAGCGGCAAGAGGCAAGCGGCAAGAGGCAAGCGGCTAGAGGCTAGATGGGTGTGGGAGTAGGCAGTAGGCACTTGCAACTTCCTCAAAAGTCATCCTGACAATTAGAACAGAACGCAGAGCACAGAGCACAGTGCACAGTGCACAGAGATCTGTCCCTGTGGCTCACAGCAATCAGAGCACAGAGCACTCATAGGGCACCACACAAAACTCATTCCAATTTTCCATTTTCCCCATCTGGGGATCAAGTGCCGATCTTTTGCCGCTTTCCGAGACATCGCTGGGGGTCGCATTCCTCACTTTGTTCGCGCCGTATCTTTTCATTTCTGTCTCTCCATTAATATGTTTTTTGTTTTTTTTTTTGTGTTTTTATTTTTCTGGAATGGTTCATTTAATGCAAGAAATTCCATGACTATTTGCTACATTTACGGACACAAAATAGACATCATTCAACGCAACAGAAACGGAATCTGCTCAACGCGATCTCTTAATTATAAGGAGATTGGACGGATCTGCAGCTGAATGCTGAACGATGAGCGATGAGCGAGAGGGTGCCAACATTCCTACACTCTGATTCAGAGCCTTTTATGCCATCAGCTGGGAGCTTAGTTCCAGTTATACTCGTATCTTTATTATTGGTGGATTGGGGCATTTGATTTGTGCAGCAAATCATCGTCATTTGCAATGGCTGGAACAGAGGTACTCGATCTGTGTTCGGCTTTTATTTAATCTTCATCGCAGTTGTGTATCCATGACAAGATCCCTTCATTCAATTGAGATATAGGCCATAGATCCATAGATCCGATCTGAACCAAATTGACAGGTGCTAGGAGATCCAATCGACTTGACTGTAAATACGCCAGCCAATTGATGGACTCGACCAGTTTGATGGTGTGTGTGTGTGTGTGTGTGTGTGTGTGTGTGAGTGAATGATTGATTGATTGACATGCTGCAATCTATTGGCAACTTGAGGCTTTGTTATTTTGTTATTGCTTCCATTTAGCCTCGTCGCTCAATGTGGAATATGTTCCAGTTCCAGTTCCAGTACTAGCCTCTAGAGTGTAGAAGGAGTGGAGCTGCTG